ACCAATTTTTCCCTGCTGTTTAGAGCACAATACTGTGAGCCTAAAGGACTGGATTTCAGAGCCCAAACTCAGGCTAGGGTACCCAGGTGTCCGGTTTTCAACGGACAGTTCAGTATTTTGGCCTTCCGTCCAGTAAAAAAAAACCAGAACACCAGACATGTAAAATGTTCAGTATTTTCTGTTTTCCTCGAACAGATGGCCGGTGGCATCTGCGAAGGCAGGGGGAGCAAGGAGCGTGGTAATTTAAAGGCGCAGCGGCCTTTTTTTTTCCTCTCAAAATGATGGCTGTCGTCATCTGAGAGAGCGGGGGGAGCGAGGTAATTTAAAGGTGCTTTTCATTATGTAGATTTTTTTGCTTAACAAGTTTGGGTTTTCTCTCCCCCGCCCCCCCCCTTTTTTTTTGCTCAACCAATTTTTCCCTGCTGTTTAGAGCACAATACTGTGAGCCTAAGTCTGTAGATCTGGGCTCTGAGACTTGCTGCCATGGTTTTAAAACACAATGCTATTTGCTTCAGGGCACAGAAGTATGTTGTTTATTTCAGGACTAGTTAACCTGACCTACAGCATGGCTATAAACTTTTCTGAGGTCACATCCAGATAAAGCAACGTAGCACAATCTCATGTTTAACTCACTTTTCATAGCACACTGTAAGATAAGTGAAGAAAAAGGTGTTCATTATCAAGGCTATTCTGCTTCATCAATTTGCTATGTACAATTTCAAAATTAATATTCCTTGTGAAACTGGACTACATGTTGACTGCATTGACTTTTTCACTGCATTTATTTATTTCAATTATTACTTTCTGCTATGCAATATGCATGGCTATCTTAAAAGTTGAATGAAATAAGATCCTTATATGAAGATATGGAATTATTCAAGGAGATGGGAAAATATGTAGCAGTTTAATACCTATATTTTCTTTTTGGCAGTCAGAATGATACCATGATTTTACTTGTGTAATAACAACCAGCATTTTATAAACTTCCCAATCAATAAGGATGCAAGAATGAGTACT